TTTTTTATAATAATTTTATTGTATTATTAAAAGTTCTCTAATAAAAATAAAAGATATAAATATATGTAATTTACGCTTACGAATTTATTATTTTTCATAATACAGTTGACCCTCTCTACAATCACACCCTTCGGAATCGCCTTATGGTGTGATTGTATAGAGGTGTGCTTATATATGATTATGTAATTTCAAAAATTAAAATTAAAATAACCGGTATTTATTTATTACATTTATTACATTTATAGTTTATCATTTTATATTAGATTTTTAACCTTTGCTTCGTTCTCCTTTCACTTAGTTGTTAAATTAACCAATTTCTTTCTTTTTTTTAGATTTTTCAACATTTCGGCTGGATCCAAAATGGTAAGTTTCATTTCATTTCTTTTCTTCTTTGTTTTGTTCTTTCTTCTTTCGCTTGGTTATTAATTAACCAATTTCCTTTTATTTTTTTAGGTCTTTGGGTTCTTCGGCTGGATCCAAGATGCAAGGTGAGTGTTTTGATTTTCTTCTTTGTTTTGTTTTTTTTTCTTTCGCTTGGTTATTAATTAACCAATTTCCTTTTTTTTAGGTCTTTGGGTTTTTCGGCTGGATCTAAGATGCAAGATGGGTGTTTCGATTTTCTTTTTTATTTTGTTCTTTCTTCTTTCGCTTAGTTATTAATTAACCAATTTCCCTTTTTTTTTTAGGTCTTTGGGTTTTTCAGCTGAATCCAAGGTGCAAGGTGGGTGTTTCGATTTCTTCTTTATTTTGTTCTTTCTTCTTTTGCTTGGTTATTAATTAACCAATTTCCTTTTATTTTTTTAGGTCTTTGGGTTCTTCGGCTAGATTCAAGGTGCAAGGTGGGTATTTCGATTTTCTTTTTGTTTTGTTCTTTCTTCTTTCACTTAGTTATTAATTAACCAATTTCCTTTTTTTTTTAGGTCTTTGGGTTCTTCGGCTGGATCCAAGGTGCAAGGTTGGTGTTTTGATTTTCTTCTTTGTTTTGTTCTTTCTTCTTTCATTTGGTTATTAATTAACCAATTTTCTTTTTTTTTTTTTTTTAGATCTTTGGGTACTTTGGCTGGATCTAAGGTGCAAGGTGGGTGTTTCGATTTTCTTCTTTGTTTTGTTCTTTCTTCTTTCGCTTGGTTATTAATTAACAAATTTCTTTTTTTTTTAGATCTTTGGGTACTTCGGTTGGATCCAAGATGCAAGGTGGGTGTTTCGATTTTATTTTTTATTTTGTTCTTCCTTCTTTCGCTTGGTTATTAATTAACCAATTTCTTTTTTTTTTAGATCTTTGGGTTCTTCGGCTGGATCCCAAGGCAGTAAGTTCATTTTCTTACTTTGCTTTAATCTTTATTTACTTTCTTTTTTTAGATGTTTCT